GGTTTAGGGTTTAGGGCTTCTGGGCTGATAGGCTTCTTTCTTAGGGCTCTAGGGCTCTGTGGTTCCAGGAAGGTTTCGGGCGTCTGCCGAAGAGTTGTCCCTGGAAGCCTAAATCGCGGACTCTTGGAGCCGATGTTGGAGGCTTTAAGTGCCGAAGTAGAAGAACACTTTTTTCAAACACAAAAAACAGATCCTTTAACGACACAGCCTCCACGCGTTCAGAAGCAAGCGGATATACAGTCCTAGAATCATGAACCCTGAATCCTAGATGCCACATGTGACCCAGCACACTTTGGCGATGTCGTTCTTGCCTTGCGCATTGCCGCACTCCCTTCTCCCCGACATGCAAGAGGGTTTGAGTTGGGCTTTGGCGTTCAGGAGGCGCGATTCCGTCGTGGTCAGGATTCCAGGGTTTAGAGTTTAGGGTTNNGGTTTAGGGCAGTTTAGGGTTTAGAGTTGAGGGCTTCTTTCCGACAGGCGGCTAAAGAATCGATCGCCTCTAAGTAGACCAGCTTCTCAACTGGCGTCTCCTTGGCTCCATTGGGGGGGAGTCCGGGGCCTCCGTGGGGTGCGGAGCTTTGGGGTTCAGCCCTTGCGGGCTGCTTTAGGATGCACGGTTCTGGGGACTCAGGACTCTTGTCAAAAGGGTTCAGGAAAAGTTCAGAGTGTTCGTTCTTCATCACTTTGCTTTGAGGGCGTCTTAACAACTGAGGGCTTATGTCTTACTGGGGGGGGGTGGTCATGATCATGTCTTGCTCTTTGGGGCGTCTCTTAGGACTTGGATCCCTTAGTGTCTGAATCTCTTTCACCGACTCCATTAAGTCTCTTGCAAGCGGCATGCTTTGAGGTGTCTTGGACCTGGCTTAGCTCGTAGGTCTTGATGCTGTCCACCGTGAACTCGTCACCACCTCCAAACGAGCTGGGTAGCTCAGGATATTGCACGTAAGGCGTGCTTCGATGTGAGTTCACAGCTACCACCACCACCGCCGCCGCCGCCACTGCCACCACCATTTTATATACTTTTATTGTAGTATTTTTATTTGCAGCATCTCCAGTAATGCCGAGGGCAGAACGAAAACTCCGGGACCCTCGCTCAGGCGAAACGTGACAACAATAAGAACAATACGACAACACTATGTGAGAACAACATGATAACACTACAACTGTATAATACAACATAAGTGATGTTTGCAATGATGACCGGGATAAGATGATGATGATGATGATGGTGATGGTGATGATGATGATGATGACGATGATGATGACGATGACGATGAATGCAGTATGTACCATTGTGCTTCCAATTCGCAGTCGCGGAGAGCAAGACTGAGGGCGAGCCGACCACACATCTTTTCACTCACTTGGCCCTGGCGCTTGCGATGCAACGTGAGGCGTCCCAGCAGATTTACAGCTTTACATTCACATCCCTGTTGAGAGGTGCCGCCAGTGCTGGAGGAGTGCCTGAGGCATTTTGAATTCCTTTGAGAAGGTGCTGGGTCCTTTCTTAAAGAACCTATTCTCAAAACCTGTTTCTCAGTTCCTTTGAAAAAGGCTGTTTGGTGCCTTTGGCACCACGCAAATCTGCCGTTCAGGGAAGAGTCAGCTGGATTTGCCAGGTACATCCAGGCGCTTGTGGCCTGACGATGGCTGACATCCAGACGCGAGAGGTGCGCCAGAAAAAGGACACTTGACTGGTGAATGCTTCCAAGATTTCCAATCTCGTTCCAACTGCTCCAAACGCTGGTGGGTGGCCTTGACGGCCTGGACTGCACGATCGCTTTCTCGAGACACATGTTCCTTCATCGAAGTGATCCGGGCAACATTCAAGCTGTGATCTTGCGGTACCACGGCCCACAGGTATTTCTTATGGCGTCCACACGTGTTCTCTGTGAACACAGACAGGAAGAGCCGCTGCAATTTGTTTCCACAGTGCTCTGGCCATGCCATGGGCAAGAGGCGCATGATGACGCTGAGAGTCACACGAGCTCGCTCCCGACTGAAGATTACCTCGGCGCTGTCCCGATACATGTCGTAAGCCTCACCTAGAATGCCAATCAAAATGTTGAGCAGCACCAAGCACATCACGACAACAAAGAGGAAGACCCAGCTGTCTAACCACCACTCCTCTCTTGCACCGTCAAGTACAGTGTCACCGTCTTCACCAAGCATGGCCAAGAAATAGATTCCACGAACGCGTGTCATGGTGAGGGCTTCATCTGACAGGGCGCAGAAGGAGGAGAGGAAGCCAAGCATGATGATACCAAAGACAAGCAGAAAAGGGCCCATGCTTCCCAAGGCGTAGAGGATAGGTAAAATCTTAGAGCCTATCGCCTTGAAGCCCCGCAGATGTGCAAGCAAGGACCACCAACGTGTGCAGCCGAAAACTGCGATAGCAATCTGTCCCATTCGATCACGTGGGTAGTCGTCGCTGATTATTGCTTGGTATATCAGGATCACATACAGAGAGATGTTCAGTGCTGTTCCAGCCACCAAGACAAGTGGAACCGACCAGCCCTTCTTCCAAATGCGTACAGTCTCGATGCCTTTCTCCACAAATTCCTTCATTAAGCAGAAAACCAAGCATGGCCACAATCCACGGTGCTCGCGGAAGAAGATCCAACTACATGTGAACAGTAGGATGATGGCCTCACAAGCGATGTCGAAAATCTTACGGCTTCGTGTTAGGGCCCACGCTGCGTCGAGCAGCGCCTGTGCAGCCATGGTGGCCAGGACATCATCGTTAGGAGTGTTGGCCAGAGACTTCAGCATTTGTCCGCTCCGCAAAGGATCCGGAATCACACAAACACTGAGCTCAACAGGCACCTGTCTGTAGCCCTTTACAGCGGTCAGAAGCAGTAAGGGATCATGTCCAGAAAAAATGTTTGGGTTCATGACAATAGTGTCGTAGCTCTTTGTGAAAAGCCCATCCCTTCCCCCAGGTCCAGAGATGCAAGCATGTCGTGGCACAGGGGTGCACTTCGTAGGGTCACTCAAGGGCCTTCGGAAGAGCCCGGAGAGCGCCACAGCGGCTTCCGGGCTGTAGGACGCCATGAGCGACATAAGCTGCCCAAACTCAAAGTTGTTCCCAAAGTGCTGGGATTTCAACGGGCACTCCAGGAGCTTCACCCGCTCCACGAGGATGTAGGAAAACGCGCCTGCCATGGTTGGGTTTTTTTGGAGGAAGTCGTAATTCTCGAGATCCCTC